TTTATTATAATAAAGTGATTTTAAAAATAAGAATAGGCAAATAGATCAGTACAACAGAATAAGAACTTATACATCAATTCAAACTTATGTTGTGTTTTGGTTTCTGATAAAGATGCTAAAAGCAACTAGACAGAGCAACTAGACATGCATATGGAATACAGTAGAATCTCCTATGTCCATCACTCATATATCTACATATACATGTGTATATATATACAGATATATGCACATGCATACATATATATACATATGTAAATGTATATATGTAAGTTCAAAGTGGAAAAAAGTCAAACTCTCTTAAAAGAAAACAAGACCTGTACAAGTTGGATACAGGAAAAGAATACTTAGATCATAAAGAGTAATAACCAAGAAAAACTGTTAATAAATTAGACTTCATTAAATTTAAAAATATCATCAAAAGACAAGAGTAAGAAAATACAAAGGCAAACCACAGGCTTCAAAAGTATTTACAATTCACATATCTAACAAGGAGCTATTGTCCAGCATTTATAAAAATTTTCTATAATGCAGTTAATTTTTTAAAAGACATCTTAAGGTAAAAGGTGCTAACAGATTTGAATAGATTGTTCACAGATGTACAAAAGACCAAAAGAAAACAGTATCATTAGTAATCATGGAGAGGTAGAGTCAACCAAGACATTGCTACACATCCAGCAGTTTACTACAATTAAAAGCTGGCCAACCCTGGCAGGATCTAGGACAGGACTACTATATGAAGCAACTGGAACTGAGACTTTGTTGAAAATATAAAATTATACGTCTATGTTGGAAGAAGATGTGATCATTACTATACCTACTATACAACTCTGAAATTGTACTCTTTGGTATCTGTTCAAAAGAAGTGAAAGCATATATCCACAAAAAGATTAGGAGTGTTCACAGGTGCTACCCATTAGCAGAAATACACATGAACAAGCTGTCATTATAACCAAGTTGATGTAATTATACAGTGGAGTTGATATTATTAATTGCCCCAGTTTGTTTCGAGTTTTCTAGAAAGTAGGCCTTTCAAGTACTAAACCAGAAAAAAAACATGGCAAAGCATGAAGACTTGGTCACCCTCAGCAATGATAGGAGGTAACCGCCGTTGACACTTAGACACAAATTGAATGAAACCTGTGAACAAGTACATATTTGTTGATTCCACTTATATGAAGCTCTCAAAGAAGCAGAACTAGGTTGAAAAACAGAAATGGGAGGTTTTTATCTAGGGATTGGCTGTTGATGAACAGCTGTTGGGAACTCTGTAGATTGATGATGATGGTCTGTATCTTGGTAGAACTTTAGCAGACACAGAGGTTGTGTCTTTTTCATCTTTTAATTCTGAGCTTTTCATGGTAACTCCCATTTGTTTTCTAAATTTCTGGTTTTCTTCCATTGTTTTATATAATTAGTTTGTCTATAAGTTGTTTTATTCATTCTTTGCCCTTTTTCCCTTGAAAAACAACCTTACACTAAGCAGAGTTAGTCTATTTTATTTCAGAGTGCTCTCACTCTTGTTCTCTGTCTCTTTCTATCTCTGGGGGGGGTGTGATTGCACTTTGGTGGCTAACTTAGATAATTCTTACAGCATTCTGTTTTATTGTTCTTACAATACTTTTCTTCAATTATATGTTCATTTAAAATCTAACCCAAGCAGGGTGCCATGGCACAAAGTAGTTCCAGCTACTCAGGAGGCTAAGAAGGACTTTTCCTAGAGCTCAAAGAGTTCAAGAACATCCAGGGAGCATAGTGAGATATTTTCTCATATTTTTTTAAACTCTGGATTGATTCTACATTGATGTTTTCATTAACTTGAGAGGGGTTCAGAAAATTAAAATACATATTACTGAAGATTTTTATCTTTATATTTTTCAAACTTAATCTTTTCATGTATTATCCAACAAGTGTTTTGATATGATACACTGAGTTGACTCAAAGAATGAATTCTACTGTCATCATCTTATTTTGTTTTGTTTTTAGCTCTTTCTTTTCAGGTATTTCTAATATGTGCTGTTCTTATGAGGAAGTCAGTTATAGTAATGAATCTCAACACTTACTGCCAAACCAATCTACCCTTTTATGAACAAACTTTTTAATTTTTTGTATTTATCTATTGTGTGCGTATACATGTGCACACACATGTATGGAGGTCAGAGGACAAGTTGTGGGAGTCTTCTTTCCTTCCATCATATGAGTTCTGGGTATCAAACTCAGAACTTCAGAATTGGTAACAGGTACATTTATCTAGTGAGCCAGTATTTTAATAACTGTTTCCTATCCTGAAATCAATCTATTTAACATACTATACAAATAAAATTTAGTGTAATTACCATAATTAAAATATAAAGAGCAAATAAAAGAAGTTAGCAAATATGTCAATATGTAAATTTGGGAGCATGATATAATTAGATATTTGTCTCTAGCTATAAGAGTCATGAATGGAGTGGTGGTAGAGGCAGAGCTGGGTATTTTTCACATACATCAAGCAATATTGATGTTAGTGCTATGATTTTATGAAATAATTGAGCTCTTGATAAAATTTTGAAAATAAAACAAAATATGAGTTTGATGTAATTTTCATAATTATAATAGGAATTTCATACATTATTTGTAAATCTGGAAAATTGGGCATGTATTTAAACTATACAAACTATTTTTAGTTATTATAACTTTATTTTTAAAAAATAGCCTTTATTACAATTTTAAAAGTTTTAGAACACTCCTTTTTTTTAACATACTCAATGAGTTAATAAACATGAACAAAGAGTAACTCCTTTTAAGAACATGAAAAGGGCCAGGCATGCTGGACCACACTTTTAATCCCAGCACTCAGGAAGCAGAGGCAAATGGGTCTCTGAGTTCAAGTACATCTTGGTGTACAAAGCAAGTTCCAGGACAGCCAGGGCTTCGTAGAGAAACCCTGTCCTGGAGGAAAAAAACAGGGCTGGAGATTTGGCTTAGTGGTTAAGAACACTCACTGCTTTTCCAAAGGACCAAAGTCTAATACCCAGCACCCATATGGCCTCTCACAACTGTCTGTAACTTCAGCTCCAGGGACTTTGACACCCTCACACAGATGTATATGCAGATAAAACACTAATGTACATAAAATATGAATAAATAAATAAATGTTTAATTCCCAATTTTTTAAAAAAACAAAAAACATAAAATGGTAAAAGATAACATCCATAGGTCTTCATCCAACTTCAAAGAGGTAGTACTACCCTCTGGTCATTGATACCAGAGTCATGAAGGCTGTCTTAATCATCCAAATGTGGAGTTTCACTCTTCCACTGAGGTCCAAAGAAGATAAATTAGATAATCCAACGAAGGAACAATGTTAGCATTAGGTCAGATGTTAGCATCTGACAACCTAGTTGGAGCCCTAAAGTCTGCACTTGAGACACAGTGGTTTTTTATTCCCAGTGACCCCTGTGTGGTTTCCCACATGAACTGAAATCATCTGTTTGTTTTTTTTTTTTTTTTTTTGAAAAGGTGAATTTAAACTTTCATAGAGCATAATACTGAGACATAACCTGTAATATTTTAAATCTCTGGTTCATACAGGATTGGTCATTCAATGAAAAGTGCCCACATAAGAAATCGTGTCCTATGCCATAAGAGTTAAGAAATTAACAACTCGGAAGTCAGGCAGGATTCTGCTCATAGAGCAGCCAGTAAGAGAGACTCCAGTTGCAGTTTATCCATGTGATCTATTCTTTCAGTTCTGGCATGGAGTCAGAATTCAGAACAGCCCAGAAACAATGGGCTATATCAGGTTAATTCTGTTTCCTAGTCGGCAAAACAATGCCATATTACTAGGGCCATATGGCATTGTTTAAACATTGAATAGGTATCATGCTTAGCTATAAGTCCTTATTCAAGAAGATGTCCATAAATACTTATGATCATGAACCATCCCAAAAAGCAAAGGGAGCCTTCTCAGCAGGGCAGGGAGTTTCATGGCTTCAGATCACAATGAAAATAGGAAACAGACTATCAAACATGTTAACATACAAAATGAAGCTCCGATCTGGCCAGATAATTATAAACTTGTCTTTCTTCTTGAATATCATAAAGGTCAGAGGACAGTTCTCCTATGGGAGTACCAGCCTGTGACTTACAGGTCATTTAGCATCCCTGGACCTTATGTGCTAACTGCTGTAATTTTCCCTTAAACTTGTGACAATTGAACATGAACTTCCAAATTACCATGTTGAGTGTTTACTTAAAATACATTAGTCTCTTTGACAATGGTGTCACCTCTTAGAATAATGTCTTTAACTCATCGGTAAAATATGGAGGATTACAAAGGAAACCAACTATATTAAAATAAAGACCCCAGGTTGAGAGTCCCTGTAAACACTAATATCACAGTTGTCTTCCTTGTACTCAATACAGTTGAAAACCACGAAGTAAAAGGGGTTTCTATCTCTAGGGAAACAATAAAGGCCGTAATTTAGACTGTTACACATTAAAGCATAATTGAGCACCTGGATTACTTTGTCAGCAACATAATGTCACTCAAAGAACTATCATCCATTTCCTAATATATTAACTGGAATAAATATGCAAGGAGCTGAGCTTCTATTCTTGCCTTATATCAGAAAAAAAAGTCTCAAATGGACTAGTGCTTTCATTTCTCCCCTCCCACTTTGATTAGACTGCACTGATTAGAATCAGTCATGGCTCAGGTCTTTAGCCAGTTTGCCTGTTCATGTATTACTACAGAAATAAGGAAACTGGCAAAACAAAATCTTCCTTCAGCTGCCATTTGGCAAGTGGGTGAAGCACTTACATGTGTTAAACACAGTGCAATTCAGGAGCAGGAACTTCAGGCAGAATAATCAAGAGTTTATTTGAGCAGGTGTCCACTCAGCTTCTGGGTCGGTGGGGGGGGGGCGCTTTGCAAGAGGTGACTGTGCTGTATGCAGATGAACAGCTCGCTCCCCGAAGTAAACATGCTGACATCATGCCTGTGTTTCTCATTGCTATAGGGTATGTCTCTGTGCCAGACTGTCGTCGTCGGCTCTGTAGTCATTCTCCTCTACTCTTCCAGAGCTTGTTATAATCTGGTAGTGATCACCATATCACAGGATACATTAGAGAGTCCATTTAATTATGGCTGGGACAATCTTTCAGACAAGGTACGTGTCTGTCACATAGTACCAGTCTCCAGTTGATACAGCTGATAAGTGAATCTTAGCAAGAATGTTTGGTGTTTGTTCAGATGTGGTTTTATGCTATCTCTGCTCTCAATAACTGTTTAAAACTGTTTAAATTTTCCCATTTGCATATGACACTTTGGAATCACCTTTCAGAAAATTTTATCTAAGAAATAATTTATTTTGTAAATAATTATAGTACTAGAAACCTAATAGTCATAAGCCTATTTACTAACTTTTTAAAGGATGATAGTTTAATATCTCTAGGTAATTGTCTGTCATTAGTGAGTAAATGTAGCTAATATCCTGTGAGAATGAAAGAACTACATAAAATCTTAATACTTTGTTCAGTTTTATATATCTAAGTAATGACTTTCTTTAAAAATCTGTTTTTATCAACCTTGCAAAGAGCATTAGTGATTCTTTGTGTGTCCATGTATTTACTGGAACTCTCAGTATTGTAGCTGTACATCTTTAACTTCTCAGCACACTCCATCTCCTTCCTGAAGTACGGTTAAATGTTATATTATCATATTACTTTCACTTTGCCCTGAATCCAGGGAATTCTAGGAGACTATTTTCATTCACTGGCTGAGGAGATGGGCTTCTCACTCACATATGATTTCATGCAGTAGATTCTCTTCACTCCTTTGTCTGCTTCCCCTTCCAGAATCTGGTAGAATAGAAACAAATGTAGAGTAGCCCCAAAGCTTACTTTAAAAATCAGCTGTGCTGATTTACTAAGCATGTCTTGTTTTTCTACAGGCATGACTCAGGGTGCTATCATGCCAATGGGGCAGCTAGAACAGTAGTCCCTTATAAGGAACCGTCTTCAGACTATGGTGCCTCAAATGACATTATTTTACATTATCTGAGGACTAAAATTATTTTTCTAAGCTAATATGTTGAAAATTTTTTATTGTCTTATTGTAGTTTTTTAAAGTATTGTTATGTTCCTTGAAGGAAAAATAACCATTACATGAAAAGTTACCAAAAAAAAACCAAAATACAGCAAAGTTCAGTGATTTTTGTGTGTATACTTATATGTTAACTCATCCAGCCTGAAGCACTTGTGCAAGACAGGTGATTGCTTAAATATAAAACCAGTGTGAAAATTGCTCTGCCATGTTCTATGCACAGGCTCGTGAAGAAGATGGAAGTGGAGGAGACTACATCGTCTTTGGAATGGTCCTCTTTCTGTGGGAGCATGTACCAGCATGGTCGGTGGTACTGTTTTTCCGGGCACAGAGATTAAACCAGAATCTGGTAAGATATCATATTATCCCCCAATGCTCAATCTCATTTTTTTTTAAAGCATGGAGTACTTATCTGGAGTTTCTGTTTTTAGTAAGTCTGAGGCTAAAACTTCCAGCTTCTAGTCTCTAGCCTTCACCCAGTCTCTAACACTGCGTTCACAGGCACCCGCTGGCATGGTAAGCAGCCACAGCTACAGCTCCAGAGCTTTCTTTTTCGACAATCCAAGGCGGTATGACAGTGACGATGACCTGCCAAGACTGGGGAGCTCTCGGGAAGGAAGGTAGACATAACTAGTCACTTAGGCTGATTTAGTATTGAAATTGAGGGGGGAAAAAAAAACTCTGAGCTTTAACCCATCCACTAAACAGGTGATTTGGCATATGATCATGTAGTACTGTAGCTTAATCCATGAGGTCTTAACCACGTGGTACGACATGCTCTATAAACAACGGTCAGCCGACCTGAAGCCAGTATATCACTCTTACTTAAAAAAATGTAGGAGTAAAGTGGGGCCATATCATCTCCAGACCCCTTATTGGTTCAGAGTGAGACATGCACAGTGTTGGGCAGGGAAGGATTTCTGTACACTGTTTATTTGCTTCCTTGTCCCTAGTGTGACTCCAGGTCAAAAAAAGAAAAAAAATAGGGATCTGGAGAGATGGCTCAGAGGTTAAGAGCACTGGTTGTTCTTCCAAAGGTCCTGAGTTTGATTCCCAGCAACCACATGATGGCTCACAACCATCTATAATGAGATCTGGTGCCTTCTTCTGGCATTCAAGCATACATGTAAGCATAATACTGTGTACATAATAAATAAATAAATAAAAATGTCTTTCCACTCCCTCGTGTTCCAAAACTATCAGAAAGCCTTATCATGCACCAACAGGACTCTCTCAGCTCGATTCCTTTTCAATAACTCTAACTTCACCTGGACAAGTCATTTGATCTATTTCTCATCTGTGAAGTAGGGATTATAACTCAGCCTATCTTGTGGGCTTGAATTGAGGACTAAAGGTACATGTACATACAGTTGTGTTGGAATAAAGCATAGCACACAGAGCATATTAATATTGTTAGTCTCATTCTGCCACTTCTGAGAATCATTTATTTTTTGTGATATGTGTTACAAGTTTGAGATACCAGGTAGAAACCATTAAGTTGTGTAGAAGTCGTCAGTGTTATTTTGCACATTTATTTTAATATATTTCTGTGTTGTGAAATTCTTTGGAAATGTTAAAAAATGCCAGTGTGACTCTTCCTAATCACAGCCCTCTGACGTCTTTGCCTTATCTTTTTGTCGTTGCAGTTTATCAAACTCACAAAGTTTGGGCTGGTACGGCACCATGACTGGGTGCGGCCGCAGCACATACACAGTTACACCCCCGCTGAGTGGACCTGTAACGGACACTGCTCCTCTGCTCTTCACATGCAGTAATCTAGATATGAGGAATCACCATAGCTTATATGTAACTCCACAAAACTGAGGGCTTTCCCACAGAAGAATTCTCGAACTGTTTTCCATGAATGTGTATGTGTATTCAACATCTTTAAAAGCATCTACATCAACATTGCATCATCTATTGCAACTAGCAAAATCTGAAAATGCAGCTGTGTTTCGTGGAGAACCTCAAAACACAGCTGTTCATTTTGACCTCTGCATAGTGAAATTCGAAGTTTGGAGGAGAAAGAGAGATTAGATGCTAAGGTACTTGATGACCTCAGAACCTCCTAACTTTGAATGTCCAACGCACATTTGCATATTTGCACTTTTGCCTGTGTTCAGAAAGAATACTCTGCAGTCCCCAAAGCCACACTCGAGTATTCATAACATTGTACACCAGATGGGAAGGCAGTTTTTCCACAAAAATCAAAACCTAGAAATTCAAAGGTGTACTCTACATGGAATTCTTACCCAATTACAGCTTTAAAGTGTGATCAGTGCACAGACTTAAGGCTTAAAAATACATCATTCTTTTTAAAAATATGTAACACTGAAGACAGTTTTTTAAAGCATGCCTTGAAAAAATTGTCAATTGAAATCACTCCATTATTTTAAACAAGTTATAGCAGAAACCCTTCATGGTGCTGCTGGCTGGCAGTGTTCTTTGGAAAGCCAGAGCAGTCTTTTCAAAGGAACAAAAAGCCAGTGGAGACAGTGTGGCTTTGAGTAGGACTGGTCAAGTGGCTGTTTTGTATGACTAAGGTAAGTAGCAGTTTAAGCATGATTCTTCCAGAAACTATAGTGACTTTTCCATAGGGGATTTCAGTAGAACTTCTTGGGACTAACTAAACAAGTTTACAGATGCATTTAGGGATTGTTCACTAAAAAAAGTGCTAGGTTTAAAACAGTATGTTTTCAAAAAGTATTCAATTTATCTAAAAGGAGATGGAGCAAATCCTACCTACTGAGTCAAGACTGTCCTCAGGTAAATTAAATCACGAGATGTTTTGCAGTGAGCTGAAGTGCAATACTTTATAAAATGTATAATCCCGCCTTTATTTTTCACATTTTATACCTTGTATATGGGCTTAGCCAAATTAAATTAATTCCAATCAATTCCAACACTGGATTAATAAGCAAACAAGAGAAGTGTAAGAGGTGTTTAGGACTTCACTAAGACTGTCTTAATATGCTACTGTAAGAGGTGTGCTTGTGCACACATGTGCACTCAAACACACACACAGAGCAGTAGGCCAAGACAACACAATTTTAAAATGCACTTTCTATCTGTGTCTACATGGAAATCAGATACTGAATACCTCAGATAGAGGGGACAGGCAGCTTAGGAGGTGTCACACAAGTGGAGATGACCCCACACAGGATCTGCCAGCTGCTTTGGAACCAAGATGAACATAGCTGCCCTCTTCTGTCTACTGTGACTAGAAATTGTCTTATTTGTACTCATATCTAAAATCTTTCAGCTTTTTAACTAATTCAGCAACTTCACAAAAGTATAATATGCGAATCTTTAAAAACATATTGTTAATCCTTTCTATCTTTTGAGAGGATGGTACAAAGCCAAATACTTTTCTTCTTTTTATGAAAAACAGATTTTAAATTCAACCGGAAGCATACTTATAAATATACAGCATTTGTTTGTAAGTTCTTACTGTAACAAATTATTTAAACTTTTATAGTACAGAAGTTAGCCTTGGTACTATGATGACAACCTAACAATAGTCTACAACTGTGGATTTGTTTTCAGTTTTTTGATTTTTTTCAGAATGCCAGTTGTTTATTTTGGTGATGTTAGGTATCTAACTCATTTTTTCCTAGTTAAGCTTCTCTCCACAAACATCCTGGTTGACAAAGTAAAACAAAGATTACTTAAACTCTTCAGATAAAGTATCTTAGTTCTTTTCACTGCACTGGTTGACTACACTGAATTTGAGATTTGTTAGTGTATTTATGTATCACTGACTCAATTACCTAAATTCAGAGGCTATGTACTCCTGGCTATCCTGGAAACTCAGTGTAGACCAGACTGGCCTTGAACTCAGAGATTCTCCTGCCTCTACCTTCTAAGTGCTGGAATTAAATGTTTGTGCCACCACACTTGGCCTATAAAGTACCTAAATTCTTAACATTTGTCTCCTTATATACATTTCACAGTACATCACCAAAGAAGAAATCTGCCGCAGTGTTTGCTTAAAAATTCAAAAGCACTAGCAGCACTTTAAGTTTGGTCTCAGAGGGAGCTGTTCATAAGGTCAAAGGGCTACAGTTCCCTGTCCACCTGCACTGAAGCACACGACAACTCCAGCCCTTCTTCACAATCATTAATTAGAAAGTCGAAATTCATTGCTTAAGTGTATAATTCTACCGTGATTAGCAATATTTGTTCTTATTGTTTATTACATTTGGGTTACTATTAATTTTGAAACTCTTAACCACCTATTGTAGCTGATTGTAGTTTTATGGACAATGTAATTTATAGCAAAAGTGGCTTTTTACGTGTAATTGCCTTTTTATTGTTTAGCAGTGTTTCTCAGCTATACAGTCAGTTTCAAACTGCTTACAAAAGTATAGCTGTGGCAATGAATGTATTTATTTGTTGTTTCACTAAATTATAATAAAACTACTGTTAATGAGTGTGCTTTTATTTGGAGGTTTTTTTTTGTTTTTTGTTTGTTTGTTTGTTTGTTTTTTTAATATCCCTAATGGAATCCATTCAGTTTTTTTCAAAAATCTCATTACAAATGGAATTTGTTTTAGTGAATAATGGATTACATCTGAACCACAACACATATTTTAGCCTGTTCGTAAATGGTAGTGTCATTAGGTGGACATTAATTCAAAGTTAAACTAAGAAAAATCCTCATGAAAATCTCCCTCCTCCTGAGAACCTTGGTTTGTCTAGTCTAAAATCCCAGCTATGCTTTCATCAAGAAGCTTCTGTGATATTTGCCTCCTCCCTTACGCTTGTTTCCAAAATAGACTCCATTCATGACTGACCAAAGACCACACCAAAATTTGAATTATTTTCATCTTTATTGCCCACCCTGAAGTCTACTGATCCTTGCTGTAAGCAAAGGCAGTGAGGGTACTTGCAGTGAGGCACAGCTGTCACTGTGAAGCAATTAATTCAACAAACATTTATTAAATGCTCATATGCCAAACACTATGCTATAGAGATGCCAAAATAGTTTCTTTTCCTGCCCCTAAGGAGCTCACATTCTAGTAAAGGACACTTTAAAAAAATAAAACATACAGTACAGTTAGTGATTCAGTAGAGGTAGGTTGCAATTACAGTGGTGACCATAGGAAGGGGACAGGTGTAATTTCAAAGAGAGAATTTCAGGAATGCATGGAATTTCACAGATGACGAAGAAGCCTAGGTTTCTCAATACAAATACAGTATCTATCAAAGTTTGGAGGGAGATCCAGCTCTAGACTTTTGAAAAACTTTTAACACTCTTATCAGAACAGAGTGGCAAAGACGAGAGGGGAGGATCTTGGACACCAAGTAAAGGCTCTCACCAGAAAGCTCATAAAATTGTCAATGGGTATTGGGTTGAATGCTTCTAGAAAACCAAATCTGGTAATATGGACCAACAAAGATGAGGAAATAGACTTAGGCAGTCCTTTAGGTAACAGTAACAAAAATAAAAAAGAATGTTAGATAGAAAGTTGGGAGTAAAATCTGCAGAACTCAGACGCCAACAGTTAGGAGGAAAAGGAATGAACTGTAAAACAGAACAATGGTTCTGAAATTCACCAAGTAAGGAGACTCAGTACAGAGAAGCAAGTACAGCAGGAAAATGGACTGAGAAGTCTGAGCTAAAATCTGTTGGACAGCACTGGATGGAAACACCCAAGAGTGAAGCACAGTGACTAAGTACAAGTCTGAAGATTGACATTCAGGTTAAATAAGGAGACCAGAGAAAAGACAAGGACACATAGGCATAGGAACTTCAAGAAAGAATTATCAAGAGTGTTAAATTCAGGAAAAAGTTCAAATTAAGAAATGGCTTGTTACCGGGCGTTGGTGGCCACGCCTTTAATCCCAGCACTCTGGAGGCAGAGGCAGGCGGATCTCTGTGAGTTCAAGGTCAGCCTGGTCTCTAGAGTGAGGGCCAGGATAGGCTCCAAAGCTACGCAGAGAAACCCTGTCTCGAAAAACGAAAGAAAGAGAGAGAGAGAGAGAGAGAGAGAGAGAGAGAGAGAGAGAGAGAGAGAGAGAGAGAGAGAGAGAGAGAGAGAGAGAGAGAGAAAAGGAAATGGCTTGTTAACTGTGTTAGGACAAAGTGCAAGGGGGACCGAGGCAGAAGGACAAACATGCCAGGCAGACAGCTTAAGTGAGAAGTTTTATTAGAAGAGGGGTGGGGGGAGAGAAAAGAGGTAAAGAGACAGAGAAAGAGAGGACAGAAGAGAATAGGGAGACAGGAAAAGTCCTGTCTGCCCCAGGGGAACAGCAGGAAAAAGAGAGAGAACGCAGGAAAGAGCAGGGAAAGAGCACAGAAAGAGAACGTAAGTGGGCGGAGGTCTTTCTTTTACAGGGCTCCTTTGCACCTGGGCTGACCAGGGTACTGCCTGAGTACATTCTGCCAGGTGACAGGGGCAGGCCAGCATAATGCCTGAATCCTTACAAACTGTAGGCTTAGAATAAAGCTGTTAGGTCTCATCTGGAGGGACAAAGGACACAGGGTCAATCAAGTGGGAAGCAGCATGTGAAAGCAGTGAGGTTTTCAAACAGTGGCTGCTGAAATACCCTTGTATATGGTGATCACTTAGGACTATGAGTCCCCAGGAAAACGGACTTAAATTAGTGGGTTGATGTCTTTCATTTGCTACCCTATTCAAAAGGGGAAAAAATGAGAGAAAGGAAAGTTGGACACATTGTTAAACATAGTTATATGATCATTCACTTAGAGTATATTAAATACATACTTACATATTCAAATCAACAAATACTAGACACCAACTATATGTTGGCAATGGACCAAGTCTTAGGGACAAATTAGATACTCAGCAGTGTAAAGTGACATTTCTAACCATTACATATATAAATCTTGCTTTTCTTATGTGACATCTCAACCTGTCCTAATTGCTCAGACATTATATATGATATAAAGGGGGCATAATTTTGAGGTATACAGAATCTATAATTGCCATGTGATGTAAATTTTTTTTTTTTAAAGATTTATTTGTTATGTATACAGTATTCTGGCATTCGTGCCTACACACCAGAAGAGGGCACCAAATCTCATTACAGATGGTTGTGAGCCACTATGTGGTTGCTGGGAATTGAACCCAAGACCTCTGAAAGAACAGACAGCACTCTTAACCTCTGAGCCATCTCTCCAGCCCTGTGATGTAAATTCTTAAGTCACTTCAAATATTGTTCTCAGTAAAAAACTTTAACTACTGAAAGCCCATCTAAGTTACACTTCCATTTAATGTAGGCAAAAGAAATCAGTTTCATGTAAAAAACATGAATTGTATACCCTATGATTACACAGGTCAAAAAAGGGAACAAAACTCAAACTTTAGGTGACTAGGGCGTGAGATGTTTCCTTATTTTAAGGCCTATAGTAGTTTAGCTCAGATTTGTAAGGTTTTGTTTTTCCCTTTTAAAAAAAATAATAATTTTTAGGAAATTCCCAAGCATCACATTTAAGTATTTTGGGTTAAAGCATGATGCCCATGACTACTTTTCAAACAATAAATAAAAACAGGATATCCACGTCTACATAGAAGGTAAAGCGAGGCCTGAGGCTCAGGGGTGGAGGGCTAGCCTACTATGCCTGAGGTCCTGGGCTCAATCCCCAGTGTGGGATAGGGTAAGACATTACAACACAGGTGAACAATCAATGAATTTGAATAAAACAGATTTTTTATACTAGTTTTGAAACTTTTCTGTAAATCTGAAATTATATAAAAATAAAATTTCCCCCAAAATTTTACTATTAGGGGAAGCATTACGAGAATAAATATATAATCTATTATCTTTCTACAATGTTTAGAAATCTCCTGTGCCTTTGAGTTATTCTACTTCCCTACAAACCAAAACAGCACAATTAAAATAGCTATATAACTCTAAAAGGAATGTTGCATACCAGTGTATATTAAGGTAGCCAGGAAAACACAGTCCTCCCAGTTAAACCTGAACTTAAAACAAGTTAATTACTTTTAGTATAAATAGAGCCCTAATACTGCATACAAATTACACTTAAAAGAAAGCTAGTTGCTTATCTAAAATTCAAATCTAAGTGGGAGTTCTGTATTTCCTTTTGCAAGCAAGGCTAATGAAAATGCATTGGTGTTTTTAGGCTGTTGGCCATGGGTTTATTGATGAGCCTCTTAGAATTTTACTATAAAACACTTGCCACAGTTACCTTAGATTTATTTTTATCATATCATCTTAAATACAACTCTAGTTTCAGAAGCTTAAGACATAATTCACCTAGCTTTATCATATGGGATTTGGTGTATTAAAATTTGTACATTATCAAAATACTTTTATTTACAATAATACTAAACATGAACACAATTTTTAAAAATGTCGTTTACTTAAAACAATGTATTTCTCCTTTTACAAAAGCAGCTTTATAGAAACGTTTGGCCTTTGCAGTCATGCTGTAAGGAGAGATTCCTATTTGGCCTCCCCCATCCAGAAACAGGCACATTTCAACCTGTCCTCCTCAGTGAACATCCTGTAACAAGTGCCTGAAGTTCTCTAATTCTCTCACACTTGTAGAAATCCTGTAACCAAGAAACACTTCACTAAAAAACACTTTCATGAATTTTCTGTTAATCATTTTTCATTTTTCGAGTACATAAAATTTTTAAATAATTTATTTCAATAAATTGAAAGGTACATAAATCTACTTATACCCTTTAGTTTTTACCTGGCAAGGCAAACCTAATATACTATTACCCAAACAAGCTTTTAATACCCAAGTATTAAAATATATACATATAAAATTACATAAACATATATTTTAAATATCCAGAACTATATTAAAGTATTTAAAGCACATCAGCCTTTAGTATATGACACATTAAGTGTACGTAGATATTTTAGGTATTCGTAAGTGTACTTCTTATTTGTATTACATATATAAAATAAACATAGAAACATAGAAAAAACATAGAAACACTAAAATAAGTATTTAAATGTTCAGAAACATATGAATAGAATAATTAATATGCCTTTAATGTACAAAGATCAAAGCTATTGATCTTTAAAGAGTGAGAAAAGCTTCTGACCCAACTGTTTGCACTAATTTTCATTTATAGGAAAGTCTGTTCTCTATTATATTTGTGCATGTTCCCTTTCACATGCACTTTAGCTCTGCTCTCCAGTATGAGAAAAGTAGAACACGCAATTAAATGAAACAGTCAAGCTCCTGGATGCCACAGAAATAATTTTTAAGGCCAATTATTTCAATCCTAAAATGTTTGATATTATTTTTAAGTGAAAAAAATGTAGCCCTTAAAAATGTTAATTGAGAGGATGGGAAAATGCTAAGCTTCAATACCCAGCACTGAAGAAAGAAAAACGGTTGTCAATCTCAGAGCAACACGAGCCAGAAGGAAATTCCATCCACATTTAAAACTGTTATGTATCCTCCTTATCTCATGCTTTTTCTCAAATCATTTTGACAGAAAATAATTATTTCTAAAGAATTACGAATCTTTTTGTATAGTGCTAAGTTCACTGAAATATTTGTGACTTTCCATACCCTTCAAAAAGGATACCAATAAAATGCTTTTAAATAATCACAATAAGCTGGGTCTGATGACTCATGCCTTTAATCCCAGAAGGTAGAGGCTGGCAGATCTCTGTGTTCAAGGCCAGCCTGGTCTATATAGTAAGTTCCAGGCCAGCCAGAGCTACATAGTGAGACCTACATAGTGAGAACAAAACAAAATACCATGTATATATGTATGTATGAATATACAAAATAATTATAGTAAAATGTACAAATTTAACAGTACCCAAATTTTTCAGTAAATTAAATATGAATATAAAAATCAATAGATGGAAATAATCAAGCAGTAACTATATGTGTGTATACTCTTAAGGTCTTTTACCAGATCATATAATTCTATAACGAGATAATTCTAGTAAAAAGGACACTCTTAGTTTTACTTGAAAATGTACCTAATAATGTCAGACTTAGTTGGCTAGCAGAAACAATGTCAGTACATTAAAACTAACCTTCCAAATGCATTAAACAGTGATACTATTTCCTGTCGGGTTAGCTGGAATTCATAACTTGGTCCACTTTCTGGCATATTTGCTATCAGTTTCTCGGAAAACAAGATCTTCAGAGCAGTGCCCAAACCCTGAGTCTGAAACAGAAAGAAGAAAACAGGACAAATAAGAAATGCCTCAACAAAGAGTAAAGAAGAAGACTGGGCAAGACTTACCTGGAGCTTTCCCCACAGTCGACACTTAAAACAACCAACACAATCCATGATTCTCGAAATATTTCTAAAATGCAGTCGGAAGTCCTCCTAAAAACAATTTAACATAATTTTATGTAAGTTGTATATGTATGTAATCAATTAAGAATTGTTTTCCTGGTGGTTTTCATGTGCTCCACCTTGGACAGTGTACTCAAGGGCACAAAACAAAGAGCAGTGTACACGAGGCATCTACACATACCAGAGCCCCTCCTTATCATCTAATCTCCCCACAAATACAAAACTACATATGATCTACCACTCCTGAATTTCTTTAAAAGACTCAGACATGTTAAACAGCAGGCCAAAATTCACACCCCTAGTCACCTGAATATTTTGAAACCAGCACTGTCTTATTCCAAATCCACACTACCGGAAAAGAAATACAAATCATTTAATTTTACACGTCAATATTGGGAGCTATGCCATTAGATGGCATCTAACAAGGTAAAGAAAGGAGAAAGGAGGAAGATGATCTTTGAGAACAGTTCAATTATAGCTCTCCTTTCCTGGAATTAGGACGACTCATCTTTACTCCTGATATTACTGACATACAAATTTAATTAATAGCTACATATGCTAAAAGAAAACATTAATTGAAACTCCCTACATATCCCACATTTCTGTACCTATCCCCTACTACTATGCTGGATTTGGGATATTGTTCCATTTATATTTTTATACATTTCATTCATATATGTATCTATTAACACCAGAGTATTACATTGTTTATAATAGAGCAGCGTGCATCCAATCATCTAAACACAGTATATGTCCTTAAGGCCCGGAAAAAAAAAGGAGTCAAGGGCATTTTCTTTTACATGAGCCAAAATTAATAATGGGTCCTACAAGTGATTCTGTCTGTCTGAAGAGTGGAATTCCAATCTATCAGAAGTTTTTAATTTTTTCTTCAAAAACTAGATTTTATTCACCCCCCTCCACCCACTGTGTGTGTGTGTGTGTGTGTGTGTGTGTGTGTGTGTGTGTGTGTGTGTGTTTATGTATACGCATGTGAAAGTTAGATGACAACTTGCAGGGAGTTGGTGTTGAAGATTTGAAAATCCTGGGGACTGAACTCAGGTCATCAGACTTGGCTACAACTGTCTTTACCCACTGAGCCATCTCACCAGCCCTGAACTATCAGTATTTTAAGCAGAAATTTGATCTAGATTTCAGAAGAAACTTCTATTATTTCAGTAGTCTAACTTTTTTGTTTTGTTTTTTGAGACATAGTTTCTCTTTGTATCAGGCCTGGCTGTCCAGGAACTCACTCTGTAGATGAGGTTGGCCTTGAACTCACAGAGATCTGCCTGCCACTGCCTCCTGAGTGCTGGTGCCTGGTGTCTATAATTTTTTTTTTTTTAGTTATGAGACAAATCATATAAAATGGACTCAACCAGATAAGTACCCCAGGTCTGAAACTAGCCGTGAGCAGAGATGCCGATCTAGCACATTCAAAGGACATCTGCATTTGCTTCAGAGGGGGATTTCCCAGAAACTGATTCAGCCTGAGACTGCAACAGCTGTAACATGCAAATTATTTTAGTAAGACTCACATCTTTACTAGTTTTGTACAAAGGCCAAATAAATATGAATTCTCTACTTGAACAATTTTCTCCATTTGGTACTTCTGGACCAGTTCAGTAACAGGACATCCTAATTTTAAACTTCTAAATAAAACTGCCCATGGAAACAGTGATGCAGCTCAGCGGACGGGTAGAGTGCTTGCCTAACATAACTAAAGCCCTGGGTTCTGCCCCCATCACTACATATACCAGGTGGTGGTGACCTGTTATCTCAAGGTCGCCCTCATCCACAAAGCAAGCTTGGGGTCATCTCAAAAATTAACTTTTTTTTAAACTACCCAATTTTGCTGTAGACAGTTTTCATGATTCGATACTAAGTTTCCTTTAGTGTTTGGCTTTGACTTTAAAAAAAATAAAATCCTCACCCAGGGATGAGAGTCTCTAGTATTGCTTATCCAATACCACCGGTCAGCCCTGAATATGTGTACACACAAGTAGCACCATGCAGACTAAAAGTGTGCCATGTGTGGTGTGTGAGTAATGGACACAAACCCAAAGAAACCATAAATTAGAGAGGGAACAAGGTTTAAAAGGGAGAAAGAGAAAGAGGAAAATGATGTAACTATATTTTAATTCCTAAAAAAAAAAAAATTTTTTTCATTGAAAAACTTTCATGCTTTTAACTACTACAGGGGAAGAGACTTCTGAGGCCCAACTCCTCCCCGAGGGACTACTGACAATTAGTAGCTGTTCTAAAGGTTTACAGAATCCAATTGTAGACAGGTTATCTATAGAGAGAATAAGCGGTTCACACATATGCTCCATAAATGTCCAAATGGATGTAACTATGATGAGCAAGTATCACATGCTCTACTTAAAGAATCTTACTGAATGCAAAAGTGGTTTTGTTTTTGTTTTGTTTTGTTTCTTGGGTTTTGGGTTTTGTTTTTAGAGACAGGGTTTTCCTGTGTAGTTCTAGCTGTCCTGGAACTAGCTCTTGTAGACCAGGCTGGTCTCAAACTCACAGAGATCCCCCTGCCTCTGCCTCCCAAGTGCTGGGACTGAAGGCATGCACTACCACCACCCGGCAAACGTGGGTTTTTGACCATTACATTTTCATAATCAAAAGATACAAAAACAGACTCCTGTAGATAGGGCCTGAAACAGGCGGGGCGTTGGTGGTGCACGCCTTTAATCCCAGCACTCGGGAGGCAGAGGCAAGCAGAGCTCTGTGAGTTTGAGGCCAGC